AAATTAAAGGATCTATTGAATGTTTGCCAGCAACTTGTCATTGGGACTGCAGTATAGTCGATCGTATACAGTCCACAGCAAATATTATTAAGCGCTTCTCAGAATTTTGCGGAAAAGTTTACTAGTACTCGTACAAAGTGTACCAACCCAAAATCGTTGTTGAAACTTGTAAAAACATGCACAAGCTCTTCTCCGGAGTTGATAAGTATTCGTAATACCGGATAGTGTAAAACTAGTTTATGGCAATTCTCCATATTAGATCTCCACCATACCAGAAATGCATGATTATATTCAATTTCTGTCAAACCAATCATTTGACTGACTGCGAATTTTGTATAGGTTATTTGTTTTTGGATGGCGTTTATGATGTCGATTCATTTTGTCCATTTAATAAGCAAAAAAGATTAAAATTTATCACGTGTTCAAAGTAGCCCCTTTGATAACATTCCGACTTGATGGCTATATGGCGAACATTTTGATAGTCGTTCATATGCTTCTCATTACACACTATTGGATGTACACCACATCCTATTATCATTTTATTTATTTTATACGAACATGTTAGCTTAGCGTTAGCGTTAGCGTTGTTATTATACTTCGTAGATTGGATACTAGCGACACTCACGTCTCTTCTGAAATTCTCAGTTAGACTACCTTCAGGAATAATGCTGGGGAGTAAACATTGGTTCCAATCTAAACAAGAGTAACAGAAGCATGACTGTCGCTATTCCCGGCCACGCGCATTTTTACCATAACTAGGGATAGGGAAGGAAATGTTGATGTAGTACTTACTTAACGAGAGGCCACCGACTTAGCGACACCCTCATAAATGCTACGGAGTTGGAGGGTTGGGTAGGGTATTCGGTTAGGATTCACCTCAAGTTGGCGATGCAACCAAAAGTATGTATTGTTTATTTGTTGTTTATTTAATCTCTCGATAGCCGACTATCGAAAGAACATATTCATTTTGTTTAGTGATCATGAATTTTTAGAGTCATGACGGAGACCTTGGGATTAAACCCATGATTTTCTGCTCAGTAAGCAAAACCAATCCCTCCAGGGTCATCGAGCATCTCAGATCCACAACGCTTCGCGACAATACAGGACTACAGAGGTTAATGTTCAATATCAAATATACAAATGATGGTGGCGATTTATTGTGCTGTGGAAGAGCTTGGGGTTAAATCCATGATTTTCTGCTCAGTAAGCAAAATCGATCCCTCCAGGTGCATCGAGCATCTCATAATTCACAGCGCTTCGCGTCAAAGTACGAATATATGAATGAACTATCTATTATTGAATAACTATTATTTACGATGATTACACGAAAGAAATAAAATATAAACTACAAACAAAACGTGACTACTAAAATCTCAAAAAGATATTCTCACAAATATATTTCACGCAACCAGGAATGTCAAAACCATTAGACGCTATAATGATACTCTGCACATTAGAGTGTTTCAGCGTTATATGGAAAAAAGTCAAAGTCTGGAATTTCAAACGCTACCCTCTGGAATGGTAGTTTTGGGGGTCAGAAACACCCTGCCAAAATTTGAAGTCATTTGGTTCACGGGAACCCCTCGCTCAAACGGCTTGAAGTTTGTATGGGGAAAATCGATAAAATGTATGGGGGAGCGAGCCACTTTCACATTCGTGGCTCAAGGTGGCGCTGTAGTGGGTCAATTTTCTTCGTGTAGCACCTTTGAAGTATTGGGAACATCTTGGCTCAAGACCGGATGTGAATCCGAGTTACCTCCGAAAAGTTATTAGCGTTTCAAACGAACACCACCTGCTTCACTTGTTTAACCATGAAATTGGTTGAAATTTTCACAGTGAGTAGAAAAATGTTCGAAATTTTGGTCTACTAAAAATTGGAACAGATTGGCCAAGTGGTTCCGGTTTTATTCCGGGTTTCCGAGAGGCCATCGGGGGGAGAAAAGGTACCAGTCGTCTACATCAAGGTGGTGCTGAAAATCCACAGCAACAGGCATCTATGGGTAGTGCTGATTAATATTTTAACAAAATCAACCCATAACCTGGTTCTAAATATGTTCTGGATTATTATGTATTTTTGATCAAAGTAGGCCTTGATTATTCTCTGCAACTATATGAAATGTAGTAAATTAATGATTTTAGATATATAAGCGTTTCAATGACTCCAAGTGGTCACTAGATGATCCGCCGGAAGATCCGAAACATCCGTAAAATTTAGTGCTACATAAATTCGATCAAGTAGGCCTTGATTTTTCTCTGCAACAATGAGAAATGTTGTAAAATGGTGATTTTTCATATGTTAGCTGTTCAATGGCTCCGAGTTATCACCAGATGGTCCGCTGGTAGATACGGAACATCCGTAAAATTGATTGCTGTGTGAATTTGATCAAAGTAGGCCTTGATTTTCCTCCGCAATTATATGGAATACAGTAAAATGGTGACTTCTGAAATATTAGCTGGTCATTGGCTCCAAATGGTCACCAGATGACCCACCGAAAGATCTGGAACATCCGTAAAATTGGTTGCTAAGTAAATTTCATCAAAGTATGCCTTGATTTTTCATTGCAACTGTATATAATGTAGTAAAATTATGATTTTTTATATATTAGCTGTTCACTGGCTCCAAGTGGCTCGCCGAAAGATCCGGAACATCCGTAAAATGTATTGCTGCGTAAATTTGATTAAAGTAGGCCTTGATTTTGCTCTGCAACTACGTGAAATGTAGTAAAATGGTGATTTTTGTTATATTAGCGGTTCAATTGTTCCGAGTGGTCACGACATAACCCGCTGGAAGATCCGGAAAATCTGATAAATTTATTGCTGTGTAAATTTGATCAAAGTAGGCCTTGATTTTACTCTGCAACTATGTGCAGTGTAGTTAAATGGTGATATTAGATACATTAGCTGTTCAATGGCTCGGAGTAGTCACCAGATGGTCCGTGAGAAGATCCGTAACATCCGTAAAATTGATTTATGTGTAAATTTTATCAAAGCAGGCCTTGCTTGTTCCCTGCAACTAAATGGAATGTAGTAAAATAGTGATATTTTGTATATTCGCTGGTCATTGGCTTCGAGTTATCACCAGGTGGTCCAGAAAATACGGAAAATCCGTAAAATTTATTGCTGCGTAAATTTGATCAAAGCAGGCCTTGATTTTGCTCTGCAACTATTGGCGTTGACGGCGACTCTGTAGCTCTTTACTCCTATGAGAAAATCCATAAGCAAACGTCAGACTGTGCGTGAAACATGGCGGACTTTGTACTATCCTTTCACTCCACCGAAAATTCCCATAAGAAACTGTCTATATTTGCTGGAAGAGCAAATTTTTCGACGGTGCCGTCAACGCCAATGTGAAATGAAGTAAAATGATAATTATAGATACACTAGCTGTTCAATGGATCTGAGTAGTCACCAGATGGTCCGTCATAAGATCTGGAACATTCGTAAAATTGATTTCTATGTAAATTTGAACGAAGTAGGCCTTGATTTTTCTCTGCAACTATATGGAATGTGGTAAAATGGTGATCTTGTATCGCATGCTAATGCTAATTGAATGTAACAAAAATAATATACTTAAATAAAATAAAATATTAATAAAATTATATGCAAAATTTACTAGCAGAACATTACTTTATTGGTGAGAAGTTTCTAATAAGCCCTTCCAGAAGGGTATTTTATACGAACATGTTAGCTTACACCAAAAAGTGTCAAAAGAAGCTCCGTCAGACGGTACTAATCTTTAACTTTTCACTTTAGACCAAATGTTGCACACGTTCCTACAAGCTCATATATAGTATACACTTGTAGGTATGCGCGGAACAATTGGTCTTAATTAATATAATAATATTTTTTTTCTGTGATGGCTAATCGTTTTGCTGTCTTCAACAACGTTGTTATGCATAGTATTCTCAATTTGGTGAAATTTGAGCAATATTTGAATGTTTAGCAAGCAAATGAACAGGATCTTTTCATTTCCCATACAACATTCAAAAATCCAAATCCAGATCATAACCAAATTCGTTCAAAGTTGACCGTTTTTGATGACCTCAATACACATCGGAAGAGCAGCGGGGAACAGGAGGTTGTAATCCGCCATAGAAACTTGACCCACCCTTCTGTTTCTTCGATATCGCAATGTATAGTCGAGATTTTTCAGCACTACACGGCGAATGAGATCGACTCCAATTTGAGAATCGGGTTTGTCCAGGGAAAACTTCCCGAATATGATAAAAGTAAAGAATGTTCATCAATTTTCCTCATTTTCCATCAGATTGTTGAGGTTTTCCTGAGGCACATTTACTTATTGCTGAGTTCCTGCACTTTTTGCGATTATGAGTGAACTAAACTCAAATTTGGGTCGTTCTCATTTGCCATGTATATGAGACCGGACATATTTAGGGAAAAGATTTGAATTCTCTCATTTGAAGCGTGATAGGCATGGATGCCAGGCTCATCTCCAAACCCGAACAATAATATGATCGAATCATTAAAGAACTTTTCACGAATTGGTGTAAACTGGATAGAAAAATTGCCCAAAAAATCGAAGCGATGCGATTTTACATTCATTGGGTATTAAGAAATCATTTTAATATTCAATCTCAATTACAAGCTGTGTTCTTGGTACACTAGATTTGTTTTCATTTTCAACCTTAATCACAAATTGATTTCGAATGTTTCGCTTGCGTTGCAAACAATTTACATTATTAGGCTTATGTTTTTGTTGTCGCAGCACCAACGTCGTTCGTGATGTGGACATGAAACACAAAAGGGTGTGGAAATCAACAAGGCTGCCAAGTTTTTGACTTCCCCACACTCCTTTATGTATTGTTGTGAACTTTTAAGCCTCTATTTTTAGAACCTAAATGTGAAACATATCAAGGCGCAAAAGGTAAGCTGTTTCCTTCGTAAACGATCGTATAGCAGGAAGGTTTTCAATTCAACAGACACGTAATAGGAGAATAATTTGAATTTAAAAGCATGTTTCATCAATAAATAACACTTACGCTGCGAATTAGACCGACGTATGATGTTTTCTAGAAATGTATTTTGGGGAGCTACGAGCCCCCTTCTCCCTCCTGGCATTTTGAGGCGACGTTATTCCCCAGTTGACTTTAAATCTCTTCCTGGTGCCCTGAACCCGTCAGCGCTCCTGCTTTGAATCCTTGGCGTATTCATATCCCGCCATTGCGTCGAGTTTGCTGAAGGATTCAGTTTTCAAATCATCCTACTATTACGCACACATGTTTTGTTCTATTTGCTATCCAAACACAAAACACACTTAAATAATTAGATAAAACAAACACTGCACTCTTCATGTGGCATCTTCGTCATGGAACTTGACGGACACTATTGCACTATCACCATTATTAATTCCAAATCCATTTCAGCTCAATTCCATTGCAGGTACTGATGAATCTGGAAGAAAATTGGAAAATTGAGGCATCATTAAAATCAGTTTTAATGTGAACTATTATAAAACACAGAAAGTTATCCTTTGGTTTGTTTTTTTTCCGTCGATCTTGTTTTCCGTGCTGAGCACCAATGCTACCGACGTGCCAGGAAGGCAGCTCCCACACCTGGACCCTACCTATCGACCCATCAACTCATGAACCGGGGACCAACGGCTTTACTTCCCATCCGAAGGAAGGCGTGATCAGAGATGTTATGCCTCAGAACATCCCGGCGGCGCCGACTGGGATTGAACCCAGGCTTGCTGGGGTGAGAGGTAATCACGCTTACCACTACACCACCGGCGCCGTTGTAAACACAGAAAGTTATAACAAGTATTATATTATATAATACATTATCAACATTTTTTTTTTCCGTCAACATTTATTGAAACTTTGTTTCACACTTTTAATAAAAAAATATCTTTGTTTTGTTTAGTTGAAGATGCTAATTTCAAATAACAGACTAAAGTGGTAATTTTAATACGATAGATTAGGAGATGAAAGTATAGAATTGATAGTTCCGTTAGAGTACGGCAGTTTGAAAATTGCATATAGAGAGTAGAAAGCGAGCAAGGACAACTTTAGGAAGATACAAATCGGTTTTTTTTCATCTCTATTTACCAAGAAACTGATTAAACCGATTTGTACCTTTCTAAAGTTATGATGTCCAATATTGGAATTTTGAGGTTATATTAATTATATGCATCATAGCTTTAAACAAGTTACTGATTAAAATCATAATAGTGAAATATGTGTGCTCAGGGTTAAGATCTCACTTCCGTCATTGATAAATGACGAGGCTTTTTGGGGCGACCAGCTGTGTAGAAAAATAACATTTAACGTTCGTTTACGTTTCATGAAGCACCAACTTTGGTCCCTCTTCCCTTTGTTGCGTATTTTTATACATGGCTAGTCACCCTAAAACGCTACGTCATTTATGCATGTTGCCTAAGCACAAGCCGCACTTTACCTCTCTTTTTCGAACGGGTTTCCAAAAAAAAAATATGAATTCCAAATTTATTTCCCTTGTCTAGACGTACCGTCGACTTGATAAAGGGTCAAACATTGTTGACATATTGTTAAAAATTTAACACTGCTTCTTGACTCCAATTCCGTCATAAAACAGTCGCAGGCAAACCAGCGATTTTTTTTTGAATCGGCTTTCTCTGATTTGTATGAAATTATGCGTAATTGTTTGTTATACGCCATGATTCACATGTTTGCTAAAATTCGGCCATTTTAGATCTTGTACAATTTAAAAGTGTCTTCAAAATTTACAAAAACTGCCCAAGCAACCGTAGGCACGTTATTTCGCTTTTTAGCTGTATACAACTGAACAACGGATATACCAGTTCTGTAAGTTCTTATGAGGTCCATTTATAGCCAAAAAGGCAAAATAGCGTGCCTACGGAAAAGTGCATTTCTAATCGAAATAATATCTTTAGGGAAAAATAGGCAAAACATTAAGAAAAAGCTTATGCTTCTTCTTCTTCTTCTTCTTCTTCTTCTTCTTCTTCTTCTTCTTCTTCTTCTTCTTCTTCTTCTTCTTCTTCTTCTTTATGCTTGAGCTGTCGTCTGACAGCTCAGTGTGGGGCCAGTATCTAGACTATATGCCCAAAAAGCTTATTAAAAATTCAATCTTTTGGAATGTTCAAGAGCATTTAAGAGGACACTTAAAAACTGACAACAATTGTTCAACAGAATTTTTTAGTAAAATCTTCGAAGTTTTTGTTAGGTGTGTATTTTTTAACAGAAAATCACTTAAAATGTCTCAAACATTGTTTTCTGAGCATAAATTACATTGAATTTTTTCATCAACAAAAAGTGCATACAAATTACCAAAAGTTCTTGTTGTAGAATTTTTGTCAAGTTTTAAGTGTCCATAACTTAAAACATTTAAACAAATTTGCATTTTGATTGTTTTGTTTTTTATTATTTAATTATGGGGCAACCCCAGCGTAGTGGTTCGAATCCATACCTCTCACGCCAAAGTCACGAGCTCAAATCTCGCCCCTAAACAAGTCACGAATGACCCAAGAGCGTTAAAGTGACTATAAAACAAAACAAATATATTTCTATTTTCAAAACTTTGGTAAGATCTTTTGACATATATAGGTTTTTAAGAAATGTTATTACTTAATACAATTTTTGTATATTTTTCCACAAAACATTATTTTTCTCTACATCTTTGTCGTCAGACGTCATTTCAATCAGAAGAGCCGTTTTAGTGCTGCTTTTTTAAATTTCAATTCTTTCGATTTTTAAAATTTTACATGATCTAAAAGGCCGAATTTAAGAAAAAAATTTGAATCATTACCCATAACAAAGAATCAGGGTGTATTCCTTTCATTTTGACTAGAAAATGTTTTATGAAATTATGGAATAATAAGATATTATAATAATATTTTGTTTGTGTAAGCAACAAGAAAATATTGTGAAGTTTGTGTTTGACACTTATACCTACCAATTTTGCTACATGGGAGTCGCAATAAGTGATTTTGTCATTTAACTCACCCACTCTTCGCTCTTCACTCTTCGAGAAGAGGCGATCATTGCAAGTTTTATGTATCAAACACAAACTTTAAAATCTTTTCTTGTTACTTACACATACATCATAATATCTTATATTTCCATAATTTCAAAAAAACATTTTTTTCAATTGCCGTGGAATTGAAGAGATGTTTTCTGTATTGGCAGCACAATTAATCAACAATAAAAAAAGCGAAATGAGCAATAAAAAATCTCAAATTGGCCACTAAATACTACATGGGTGCACCAATAAACAAAAAAAAAATTGCAATAGAAATGAAGAAGAAGGCAATAAACAAATAAAAAGCTTCTCTTAATAATTTGAATGTGAGCGGTGAAAATGGCAAGAAGGGCAACAGTAAATAGAATACGCTCAATTAAATAAGGATGAATCTTCACTAAATTGCGCATTATAAAATAAAAAAATCCAATCATTGGGGAAATGGCTCTAATGTTGGCCTATGGATCTAAAATTGGGCCCATCGCTAAAAATCTGCTATTTATCAATTGTATCTAGATGAACGCGTCATTGGGACGGTACTAATGGATATTTTTTGCTGCTATTGAAAATTTAGTCGATTTCTGAATTTATGTATGGGCCCAAATTAGGGACACTTAGGCCGACATTACATACATTTCCCCTATTCAGGAAATATTCCTTTAAAATGAAAGTTTATGAGCCAATAACCCAGATAAGTAATGATACTGTGTCTCGGCTAACAAAGGATGTCGATAAAGAAGTTTAACGAATGTTGGTCTCATTGAAAAAGGTACCATTAAAAAAAATCAAAAGATCATTAAAAACAGCTATTGGAGCAATATATACGTCACAAAAGAGCACTAGAAAATGCCGTTTGAGCAATATCAAGGTAAAAAAGACACAAAAAGCACAATGAATGTCTCATTTTGCCACTTTTATGGGAAAATATGTTCAACTGCAGGTGACGTAGGTAAATTATTTAGTGCTCAAATTTCCTAATTTAGTGGAGATTTATCCTTATTTAATTGAGCGTATTCTATTTACTGTTGCCTTTTTTTTTGCCTTTTGCACCGCTCACATTCAAATTATTAAAAGAAACATTTTATTTTTTATTCCCTTTTTCTTCATTTCTATTTCATTTTTTTTATTGGTGCACCCCTGTAGTATTTAGTGGCCAATATGATAAGGGGCCTCCCTTAGCTCAGTCAGCAAAGGCGCAGCTACAAAGCAAGACCATGCTGGAGGTGGCTGGGTTCGATTCCCGGTCCGGTCTAGGAATGTTTCGGGTTGGAAAATTTCTCGACTTCCCTGGGCATAGAGTATGATTGTACTTGCCACACAATTATACTAATGCAAAAATGGTACAGGCATCGAAAGCTCTCAATTAATAACTGTGGTAGTGCATCTAGAACACTAAGTTGAGAGCACGCAATAAGCTAAAATGCGATAAGCATTAAGCTTGAAATGCGAAGAAGAAGAATAAGAAGAAGAAGATGAGATATTTTAGTCTTTTGGTATTTGCACATTTTTTAGTCAGTGCAGCGTATCAGATTTGTCCCTTATAGTACTTTCAAACTACAGATTTATAACATGTTATAGCGCTATCTTGATGGTGGATTCTGTGTTGCAATTATTTGACAACCGGTATAACATGTTATAACTCTCCAGTCTGGACAGCGTTTTAAATGCAGGCAGAGTTGCCATTCTTCTTGATATGTTGTCTTCAATTTAAGAAAAAATTAAAGGATGAGTAGGCTGTCATTTTGAGGGGACATTTTTCTTTGGAATATAGAAAGAATGACTACACCAATTATTTTGCTATATTTTGCACACTGAATAATAAATGGATATATTCCATTAATCCCTCCATTTATGCAGTTGGTGGTACCGCTACTTCTCGGCTGACCATTAACCAATTTCGTTGATTTTTTGTAAGTGATTAGTGTCAACCATAAACTAGATATCTACAAAAAATCAGCTAAATTAGCTGAAGGGTGAGAAATAGTGGTGGATGGATGGTACCACCTACCGCATAAATGAATAGATTACTGTACACACACAGATTTGCTTGTTGAATCCTCCACTAAGCATAGACTGACAGTGTTTTCAGATCTAAATTCGATGGGTTTCAGATATATCACGTTAAAAATAAATCACGCAGAATTTCTTTTCGACCGCGATTAAATCGAGACTTAACTGTAGTGATTCTATACGACACATAAACGAAACAGAATATAAAATCTGAAGCAACGGAAGTAGTTTATGTAAAGATTTGGCTGGTGATTTCCGCTGTAATTCGTGCTGATAAGGATTTTGTGCAACGAAGCAGCAATTTGGACAAATTCGATAAGATCATTTCATGCGCTTGTTGTGAACTTCCAGTGCATCAAATTTCCCTCAACTTTTTGAGGACATCTTGACTGGCCCTAAAAGTAATTCTTTTAATAAAAGAACCC